TTGCGCACACGGCTTCTTGGCAAGTTTCACGATGCGCCCGCCTCCGGACATTTTGGTGTCAACCGTACACTTGGCCGACTTCGCCAGCGGTTCTATTGGTCCGACCTTCTCAAGGACGCCACCCGCTATTGTGAGTCGTGCGATATCTGTCGGCGTTGCAAGTCACGCAACCATCGTTCGTTCGGTGAGCTACACCCACTACCAGTGCCCCCTGGGCGATAGGAAGCAATTGCTATGGATATCACCGGCCCCTTCCCGAAGCACAAGACCGGCGTTGATGGGATCCTCACGGTCGTCGACCGCCTCACCAAGTACGCCATGTTTTTGCCTTGCCGCTATCACGCAAAGGCACCGGAGTTAGCCGAGGTCTTATACACCGGTTGGATTCGCTCCAAGGGTTACCCCAAGGAGATCGTTTGCGACTTGGACACTCGCTTTCTCTCCGACTTTTGGGTCGCCCTCGTCAAGCGATGGGGCTCATCTTTGAAGCCCAGTTCGGCTCGCCACCCACAAACCGATGGTCAAACGGAAAGGGCGCATCAGACCGCCCAAGTCCTTCTACGCACTCTCATCTGTCCTGACCAGGTTGATTGGGTTGAGCCCTTGCCAGACGTTGAGTTGGGTTACAACTCATCGATCCACCCGGCTATCGGGATGTCGCCATTCGAGTTTGAGCATGGTTCACCCATCTCATCGCCGCTGGACGCCACTTTGCCGCRCACAGCCRAGAGCGACGACCATCTTGYGTTCCTTCGTCGCATGCAAGAGCTTCTTGTCAAGGCACGGGATCAGATGTCAAAGACGCAAATACGGATGAGCCGTCAAGCCAACCGCAATCGCCTTCCTTGCCCGTTCCGCGCCGACGATCTGGTTTGGGTCTCCGCCACRGAGKTCAGCCTTGAGCAAGACATCTCTCGCARGCTCCTTCCCAAGTGGATGGGGMCTTGGYGCATTCTCTCTGCAGTTGGTGATGATCCCGAGGGGCCTTCATTCCGCATCGCGGTGCCACCTCACTTGCCCGTCCACACGGTGTTCCACTGTTCCAAACTCGCTCCGTTTGTTTCRGCRGARTCCGACGAGTTTSCCGGTCGACGTACGCAAGACCCTCCTTCCATGGACGGATTTCAGGAGGCCGGCTACATCATCACCGACCGGCGCCATGGCAACAAAGAAACAGAGTTTCTACTTCACTTTTCCTACTGCAGCCACAAGGCTGACCGTTGGCTGACGCGTTCAGAACTGCAGGCCACAGCCCCCGTCGTTCTCTCACGCTATCTTAGCAAAGGGAAGACTACGCCAAGCTCTTCAGCTCCGCGCCATCCTCGCTACATTCCGCCATCGGATCGGTAGCTTCGCCCGCGCCCCGGCTTGTCTTCATAAGGAGGGGGGCGTGTTATATGCTGAGAGCCTACACACGGGCCCCTCACGGGACCCGAGGTTGGAATAGGGCCCCCAGGTCGCGTCACCGCAACCTGCAGGCCCTATGGCATTTTTACTTGGGCCTGCATCAGAAAAACGCCAGCTTTAGAGTATTTTTATATTCTTTTATTTTTTTAATTGCTGTTGTTTTT